ATAGCTCCTGCAAGCACCTGAGATGCTCCAAGACTTCTGGCCAGGTGAAGAGAGGCCAGCAGCCTCAAGACTGCTCGGACATGTAGCTCACAGCTGTGCAACACCTTAGAACACACCAGGAATCCTAGCCCCCCATAGGAAAGTACCCCCCTGGCTTGGAAGGAAATGGTCACCCCACAGGTTGCTATAACCTTCTGGTTATAGCACCCTGGCCCTTTTGGAGGCCCGTTTCCAATCTCCCCTTCGAGCGCTGTCCTAGCTCTGCTGCCTTACACATGGGCTTCAGCTGTCCCAGCAGCTCTTCCCGGGACCACTTCAGCCACTCTCGACGGTCGCTGCTGATGGAACAAAAGATGGGGCTGCAGCCCTTTCCACAATCCTCCAGGGCTGGGACATTCAGGTAGTGCACAAGGACGATGTCAGGGTTCTGAGAGCAGAAGGGTACACACACACAGCACCATGGGGTCCTGAGGTCTAGAGGAGCAGCTGGCTTCCTAGTTCTCACTTTCTGCCGGGCAACCCCAACCTCACCCCCAACTTCTGGCTCTCTCCATCCCCAAGCCCCTCTCTCTTCTTCCCAGGCTCCTTTTCCCACTCAGAACCTAGTTATGCTGCCATTTCATCCTTTCAGACCCCATCTCCCTCAAAAAGCCAGGAAGAGTCTAGCTCTCTGAGCTCTTCCATCCTTACCTGGAGCAGCCAGTAGCAGCGCCGATGGAATGTGGGGACGATGGAAGAGTGAACGTAGCAGCCATAGAGACACTGCCAGGAGACAGGCTGGGGTGGGGGGAGGGCTAGTCTGCTCCCCAACTCTTCCTCTGTTCAGTCCCTTTGCAGGAATCCCAGTCTTTCCACCAGTTCCTCTTCAACCCTCACCCACTCCCACCTATTTCCCACACCTTTCAAATCCCAGCACCCCGAATCATAGATGAGGGATAGAGAGAAGGGAACAGCGGGGCCAGGGCCTTACAATGAGGAGCAGATTTGAGATATGGGGCTATCTAGAAGTCAGAGGGCAGGGCAAGAACTCATCTGAGATGAGCAGCAATGATTTGGGGAAGAGAAACCTGTGCTCAGAGGTTCAATACTTGGACCCCTGAGGGAAATGCGAGAGAAGTGAGGGGACTGGGGATCGGTGTCCTCCAGGGGGAGGCAAGTCCTGGAAAGGTGGGTCATGGAGGGAAATGGGAAGCAGAGAGTGAGCTAGGCAACCAACTTGCTGATCCAAAGTGAGAAAGGAACGGTGACTGGGAGGGTGACAGATGACGTCACCAAGCCCTGGCAGGGCCGGAACCAGCTAAGAGTGGAGAAGGGCAGGCAAGGGCAGACGAGTGGGATGCTTCGCTTACCTCCATGCCCTGGACCTTCAGCTTCATGTGGTCCTCTCGGGTGGTCTTCCCATCCTTCCGCTTCTTCCAGAGGTAACCATCTTTCCGGTATTTCACCTTCTTGCGATTGTAGAGGATAATGGAGCCATTCTGAGGCCTGAGGAGGGAACCGAAGGCCTCCTCGAGTTCTGTGGACAGAACCCAAGACCCCTGCCACTCCCACCCTTCACAAACTTTCTCACCTTGTCTTTGGGGCACAGGATAGCCACTCATCATGCTTCTCAAAGGTGATTAAGTACGATGCAATCTCCTGTAGGAGGGGAGGCAGTCAGGTGGGTGTCCCCTTCATAGAGCCTCAGCCTAGTGTCTCAGTCATACCCTCAGTCACATTCTCTGCTGAGTTCTGGCAGCTAATGGAGGATGCTACCAGGCATTTGGACCCAGCAAGGCCCACCGCCCTCCTAGGAATCCCAGGTTCCATCTCAGACAAAAGTCTAACCTCTTCTTCTTTCCCTCCCAACTGGGATGTTTATCTTGGGGCCAGGTCCAAGCTCTTCATCACCCATTCTTCATACTGCATATTATTTTACTCTCTCCAAATCCCATTTTTGTGCCACTTCCTGACTCAAAAAATTTCAATGGTTTGACACTGCCAGGAATTCTAGACTCCTCAGCCTGAATCCAAGGCTCTCCCAGAGCAGGGATCAAACCATCATTCCCACTATTTACTCATATGGTGAGTACCATTCCTACCAGATCAGTCTATTCATTGTTCCCTGAACACGGCCTGTGCAGTCACCTCCTGAATGTTAGCACCCTACAAGCCTGAAGTGCCATGTGCACATCTCTCCGAGTCTGGAAATCCCAGCCATCCTATCAACCAAATCCCTTCCCAGGTCTCCATGAAGTCCTGCTACCACCCTGGCCCTTCCTGCATTTATAACAATAACACACACACACTACCCTTTTACTGACAGTTGTCTTCTAATCAACAACCAAATCATAATGACTGACCATCATGTACACACAAAGCACTGTGTGTTGAGAACACAGAAGGTGTGTAACACAAGGTCCATGCCTTCCAGAAAGAGCCAGCATCAGTGGTGGTTAAAAGCAGGGACTCTGGAGTTAGATAAACTATATGAGGTAAGCTGGTTTCCTCATCTATACACGGGGATAACAGCAGTGTCTGTTCTGTAATCATTAGGGGACTGAATGAAATAACGTAGGTCAAGTGCTTAGCACAGTGCTCGGTTTGTAAGAAATACTTTGTAGGTGGTAGCTATTATTTTTCCCTGGGGGGATGTGCCAAGAAGTGAGCTCCTACAAGATGCAGGTCTTTATACCTCTCCTATGATCCCCAAAGAGCCTAGAACAGCACTCTGCACTTGGTAGTGTCGACATACACAGGATGACCCCCAGTCACCCTCCTCCAGCCCACGAGGCCTTGCTAGGCCCTGATCCTCCAGGCTCCCTAGAAAACCTCATTTGTATTCCACCGTAGCCGCTCTGGAGGCAGCAGCGGACAGCGAGGAAGACACTCCAGCAGCTTCTTGGGGAGAAAGATCTTCAGGTGGTGGCTGTTCTCTAGAGGGAATTAGAAGGGAGGGCTTAGTGTGCTGCTCCTGACATCCCTGTGATAGCCCAGGGGAAAAGAGCTGAAACCAGAGCTTTGGGGGAAACTGAAATGATGACAAGGAGAGCAGGGATCCACGAATTAGAGGGTCACCACAGTGTGGGCAGAAAAAAAGGCTGTGCCCAAATTGGGAACCTGGATTGTGAACTCACCAGCAACCTCGGTGGTGTCCTTGGTATTCATGGTGAGGGCTCCAGGGGGCAAGGTCACCCCCGGCCTGAGGGGCCGGGGGGAGGGGGAGTCTGTGCTGGGAAGGGAGAGAACAAGGTCATGGCAGAAGCCCCCACACTTAAATCCAGGATGAGGAGGATGAGGTGGGAGAAGGGGTGCAGAACTGGGTCGTGTTATTTGGAAAGACGAGGAATCGAGAAGGGGCTGCACTATGATGTGAGAGCAGAGCCAGGGAATGGAGGAGAGAGAGAACTCCGACGTGGTGCCAGGAATCAACATGAGTGTGGAGACACGACAGAACGGAGCGATCAGGAAGAGACGGGTGGGGTGGGGGAGGGGAGAAGGCTGGCAGGGCTGGCGCTTCAGAGCCCTACAGCGTGGGCTCTCGCGGAGGCTGGGGCTACGAAACTGGGGCTACGGTGGGGTCAGGTCCTTGGAGGATGGTTTGGCAAATGAGAGCCTGGATGTTCGGGGGAGGGCAGATCTAAGTGCGGGTGGAGAGCTGGGCCTTAGAAGACACACCCTGAGTTCCTTCTCTATTTGATTTTTCCAATGGGAAGGGCAGATCGGAGAACTGATTCTAACGTACTCCCTCTCCTCCAAGTTGGTCAGGGCCTGGTAGAATCTGGGCGAGAGATCCAGGACCCAGCTTCTCATCCTCCGGACAACCCATCCTCCACCCTGAGGCTGACAGCCCTCTCCCTATCACCCCCCCCCCACCAAACGTCTCTGCTTCCCCTGGCCTCCAGGCCTACTCTACCCCATCTACCACTCTGGCTCCAGCCTGAGTCCCCACCCTCCTGAGGGAACAGATGGAAGCTGGAGGAGGCTCTGGGCGCGGGCTCCGCCAGGTGTCCGAGGATGGAGAGGGGGAGGAGGCCTGTCCGAGCTCGGCTGTGTGCAGGAAAGCCTGGATTGGGGTAAGGACTCCGCCCAGGGCGCAGGTGCGCAGTCCGGGCTGGGCAGCCTGCCAGGGTGCGGAGCGGTGCCGGGGGCGGACCCCGCGGCGGGGCGGTGGTCCCCCGAGAAGCTCCAAGGTGGTAGGGTCCCACCTCCCGCCCGCACGGAGGGACGTTCTGAGGAAGCTGCGGAGCAGAGTCCGTGGACCCGCGGCGGGCGAGGGGCAGAGCCGGAGCCGGGGTGCGGGGGGTCCCCGGGACCGTCCCGGCACGGCAGCTCTGCCGTGGGGCCCTGCGCCGAGCGGCGCCCCCTGGCGCGGGGGAGGAGGACGGAAGCGGGGAGTAGGGGGAACCAGGAGGAGGGACGGTGGTCCCCGGCGCGGCGCGCCACGTCCGGGCTGGTGGAGCTGCGCCCCCTGGCGCGGGGGCGGAGAGGCGGGCGAGAGGCCCTGGCTCTTACCTCCCGGGGTCCCGCGGGTGACGGCGGCAGCGGCCATTCTACCCCACACCGACCCCCCCCCCCGGCGCCGGCTGACAGCGGCGTCCGACGTCACTGCGCACGGGGCGGGGCCTCCCAATTAAGGGGATGGGGGTCGGGAAGGGAACCTGGGGTCAGCGCACGTGGGGCTCTGGGTGGGGCTCTGGGTGGGGCTCTGGGTGGGGCGCTGGGCCAGGCGGCGGGACCGGCTGCCGGGAAGTCCCAGAAGGGGCAGGAGTGCTGCGAGGCAGGATTCCGGGGTCCCCGAGGCGGAAGCTCGGCCAACTGACGTGACCTCCGGGCCAGGAGAGTGGGGCGCAGGCGGCCGGCCAGTGCTGGCGAGGAACGTCGGACTCGGGGCAGGACGCTTCAATTTTGAGGACCCAGCCCGACCTCATTGTAACTGGGTCCTCGAGAAGGTGAAAGGAGCCCTCCTTCCCCGTGAACCTCTCCATCAGTGCCTCCCGGAGAGAAAGACAACTCTGGGCTCAACTTGCTTGCTTTTTAATAACAGAACAGAGAGAAGAACACAGTGCCAGGGAGCGGGCCGGGGGGTCAACAGGCCTTGGGGAGATCCTGTGAGAGAGGTGGGTTGAGATGGGAGCCAAGGGGGCTTTTAGTGCCTAGTTCAGAGGACAGGAGAGGAGGTTGGGAGAGGCTAAGGAAAGGGAAATGCCTGGATTCCAGAAATGGGGAGATTCCAGTGATGAGAACTAGTCTTGGGCCCGTGAGGCAGCGCTAGCATCTTGGGCATCGACAGTTTCTCCTTACTCCTCAGGCTGCAGCTCCATCCCCCAGGGGTTGTAAAGGGGGTTCCTACTGGCTGTGACAGTGCTGTAGGAGGGCAGAGAGCTCAGCTGCCTGGAGAGACAAGACCCCTCCTGGCCCAGGGGACTCCAGGGGGACCAAAGCAGCTGTAAAGATGAGAGAAATTGAAAAATGAATGAAAGAATGGAAAAACAGGTCTTTCTCCAGATTTCCTAGTCCCCAAACCCCGGGAGCCCCACGTCTCTGGCTCTTGCCTACTTTAGTTTTGTTCCTCTCAAATCCAGCTCTGCACCCTGGCTCTTGGCTTCTTCAATCTCTGAGAGACCAGGCATCCACATCACCCTCCACCACCCCGCCAAGTTCTCTGCCGACCATACCTGGGCCTGGCCGACCATACCTGGGCCCGGCCGGGAGTGAGAAAGTGGTCCTCTTCCCATGGATAGGTTGCCCTCTCTGCCTCCAGGGCAGGGTATTTGGTGGTGCTGGGGAATTCACAGCCCTCTTCATCGGGCACCAGGGGCTCAGACGTAGCCTCAGGGCTGCCCCACTGGGCCTTCTTCAGTCTGTGGAGACTTTAGGCTTAGGAAAGAGGTGCCTGGAGGCCAGGCTTCCTGTCTTTCCCTTCTTCACCTTTCTGCCCTGAAATGCTTCCCCCGCTGGGACCCAGGGGTGTTGTCACTTGACCTGCAACTCTCCATTCCCAATTTTCTGCTCCCCTCAGACAAGTATTTTCAGTCCAGGGACTCAGAGGTGACCTCTAGCTCCCCACTCTCCTCTGGTTCTATGGCATGCTTTCCCATCTTCAGGGATCCAGTTTCCGCTCCTTCCAGCTCCTGTGGCTCGTCCTCCATCCCTCAGTTCCCTCCCCCTTTCCACAGTATGGAAATTCGGCTTCAATTGCATGGAGTCCGTCACTCATTCCCAAACAACTTCCAATTCCTTCAAAGCTCTCAACTCCTTCCTTAGTTCAAACCATTCTGCCCCCAAACCCTGTTTGGTTTTCAGAGCCCAGATGCCTCTCCTTACTCATTGATGATTCTCTGTCTCCTCCGTAGATCCTCCAGGTGATAAGTGACAGCCCTTACCCGGGCTGGGATGCCCCCAGGTCCCTGCTGCGTTCCCACCAAATGAGGCCTCCTTCTCTTTCTTCTGCAAAGCATCTCAGGGGGTGGGAGCCCCTCAGGGGGATATAAGCCAGGCTGGGAGCAACCCGTGGCTCTCTGTGCCAGAGAATGGGGAAAAGGAGCAAGGGGGCAGAACTGGGTCTCTCAGGGAACCCTGGACTGAAATAGGGAGTCAGGGGTCTTGGGAAGCCCAGATCACAAAAACATAGCCGTGATCTGGGAAACAGGATGAGTGATTCATAAAAAGGAGGACCTAGTTAACTGCGCTGGTTGGGGGACACCAGAGGGAACAGGTAATAAGGAGAGCTCAAGACAGAATGGCAGTGGGTACAATTTTAACCAACAAGAGTTGAAGGGCAGACAGTTTGTCATACCAGCAGGGGTGGGATGTAATGTTCCTCCATCCAGGTGGGGCTGTGAAGCACAAAAAATGGGCTAAGTGCAGACAGGACACCCTCATCCATACCGTTTCTCTAACAACCTCTCCCCACCACCTGTCTGCCTGGCATTAGGAATTACAACGTGCATCAGCCAGTGGGGCAACTCTCTAGACTAGGGCTTATTGCTAGGGCTTAGGGTATTTTAAAATTGTACAGCCTCACCTTCCCACCTCCAGTTAGTCCCCATTTTCTCCATTTCCACCCACCTGGGCCTTTGACTAAGGTTCTCCCAAAAGATGTCTCCATAACGCTGGGGTGTCAGTCTGAGGCTCTGGGAAGGCAAGCTCGGGGGTGGAGATCGGCTGACCACCCTGGAACACCTGAGGTGAAGACAAGGCAGGCTCAGGTCTGGCATTTCCCTTACAGCATCTACTCACCCCAGGGATTCAGGAGTCCTGTCTTTCCAAGGGAAGACAGAGCTGCACAGGCTCCCTCAGGCCATGTCCTCCCTTATCCATTTTAGCTGAGGAAGGTGGTAAGGCCTCTGATTTGAAAGGAGATTGGAGCTGGGGTGAGGGTAGAGATTGGCAATTGTTTGAGCTCGGATCTCACTGAATCTCAAGCTTCTACACCCCACAAACAGAGAACATCATATTTAGCAAGCAGGGCTGTTAAAGAGGAAGGCCCTGATTACTCAGGTGATGTGACAAACATGGTTCCTTTTGGTCAATGCAAGGATCCAGGAGAGCAGAACCTCTGTTCAGCCCTGCTTTTTTTTCGAGTGGACTCTTCATTTTTTTTTTTTTTTGAGGAAGGTTAGCCCTGAGCTAACTGCTGCCAATCCCCCTCTTTTTTGCTGAGGAAGACTGGCCCTGAGCTAACATCCATGCCCATCTTCCTCTACTTTATATGTGGGACGCCTGCCACAGCATGGCTTGCCAAGCGGTGCCATGTCCGCACCTGGGATCTGAACCGGCGAAGCCTGGGCCGCCAAAGGGGACCGTGCGCACTTAACCGCTCGCCACCGGGCCGGTCCCTGTTCAGCCCTGCTTTGTCTCCCCTATCTCAGAAGGACTAATATCCTTATAGGTAGGGAGGGGTGTGCAGAGCTGTTTGAAAGCAGTGCTCATCACTTCCAAAGCCCCCAGATTGAATGGTGCCTACCCTCCTGATCTCTAGGAGAGTGTCCTAAGGCTTAGGCCTGGGCCCTTTATCTTCTCCATCTCCATCTCCCCTTAGGTGATCTCACCCAGGCCCATGACTTTAAATACCACCAATGTGCCCAAATCCATATTTCCAGCCCTAGCTCCTCCCCTGGACTCCAGACTTGCAGGTTCAACTGCCCGCTCAACATCTCCCTAGCCTTCCTCATCTCACTAAAAGTCACCCCAAAAGCCCAGTTGCTACAGCCAAAAACCTGGTATGCCTCACTTTCCCTCACCTCCCATATCCAGTCTACCAGCAAGTCCTGTCAGTTCTGCATGTAAAATATACCCAAATTTAACCACTCCTCACCATTTCCACTCCCACCACCATATCTCAGCTCACCTTCCCCTGGACTACTGCAATGGCTTCCTCCTCCTCTGTTTCCGTTCTAATCCCCCAACAATCTATTCAGCACAGAGCAGTGTGAGTAATCTTCTAAATATGATCACATGAAATGATATATGGCTTGAGATTTGCTTCAAAATAGTCTGAGTAGTAGGGGGTTCAGTGGATATATAGACGAAAAGAATATCCATATAATGATAAATTATTGAAGCTGAGGAGGGTACACAGAATTCACGACTATTATTTTCTCTACTTCTATCTTCGTTTGAAATTTTCCATAATAAAAAAGTTGAAGGAAAAAAAGTCTGCTCATGTCATTCCCTGGCTTAAAACGTTCCAGTGATTTCTACCGTTCTTAGAATAAAATCCAAACTCTTTTCGATGGCCTAGAAGGTCCTATATGATCTTGCCTCTGCCTAACTCTCTGACTTGACTTTCGGCTTTTCCTTTGGTCACTAAGTTTCAGTTACACTGGCCTGCTTCCTGGTCCTAGAAAATATCAAGTGTGTTTCTTCCTTGGGGCTTTTTTACATACTATTCCTACTTCTCTCCCCGGGTTCTCTCTCTTTTTTTTAAGATTTTATTTTTTCTTTTTGTCCCCAAAGCCCCCTGGTACATAGTCGTGTATTTTTAGTTGTGGGTCCTTCTAGTTGTGGCACGTGGGACGCCGCCTCAGCACGGCCTGATGAGTAGTGCCATGTCTGTGCCCAGGATCCGAACTGGCGAAACCCTGGGCTGCCGAAGCGGAGCGCGCAAACTTAACCACTTGGCCACGGGCTGGCCCCTACTAGGTTCTTATCAGACTGGCTCCTTCTCATTTTTCAGATCTCAATTAAAACTCACCTCCCTAGAATGGTTTTCCACAATCATCCTATCTAAACTTATGTCTCCAAGACATTCTATTTTCCATTATATTATACTCCTGTTGTATTTTTTTCATGGTACTTATCACTGATTGAAATTATATTGGTTTATACATTCTGGTTCCTCCCTTTAGAATGTAAGCTCTATGAGCAGGATCCCTATCACTCTCGTTGCTGAATCTCCGGCATCTAATACAGTGCCTAGAACATTGTAATGTTCAAAAACTATTTGTTGAATAAATTAATGAAGCATCAGTCTCCTGAGACCAGGCACCGAGCTTCCTGTTCCTTATTTCCCATTCCTCTTAGGGAAGGACCCAGCCATGCAATCTTCCCTCCATCCCATTCCCATCCTCCCCACTAGGTGGGAGGACTCACTTGGCAAAAGGGATGAGGTTGTCTCCATCTTCTTGTACCTGAATGACTGGACTGGGCTGGGTAGGTGGAGTGAGTCTCCTCATTGGTGCTGGGAGGATAACAGAAAATGAATCATTCACTCATGTAACGCCTGTAGAGATGAGACCAGTAGCACATCTAGAGATGGGAAAAAAGACGTATGGGTCCTGAAAAGGGAAAGAGAGTTTCAAAGGTACTTCTAGTGATGGACATTTCTATTAGCTGAAGACAGGTTGAAGATGGTGAGCACAGGAAATTTGGATGTGGTAAAAAATAAAGGACAAAATAAATATTCTGAAGCCAAATGTATAGAGTAAGTGAAATGGACAGATGACAGTTAAGTGACTTAACTGACAATATGGGATGATGAAATGAAGAATGATGATGGGGGAGACTAGATGGGGCAGAAGCATTTGGGGGTACAGTTAGTACAGAATTGGTGGTTGGGGGCAGTTAGGGAAGTGGCAGAATTGAGGGTTGGTAAATAAAGCAGGTCTGAGCGGTTATGAAACTTAAGTGTGGACAGAGTGATCAGTTGGTGACAGGGAAGGAGAGGGCAGTTGGGAATGTCTGTAGGCAAAGAAGGTGAGCACAGAGGTCAGCGGCCCAGAGCCAGAATTAGGGACAGCCACAGAGGACCTGAGAGCCAGTCGGGGTGGGCAGAAAAGGCAGATAAAAATGCGAGATAGGTTAGGAGGGTGCGTTAGGCAGCATAAAGAACAGACAAGGCCAGTGGGAAACTGTTAGAAGTGAACAAGTATTTATCCAAGGGCAAACAAGGATGGGTTGAGAAAGCAGTCAGGTGAGCTAAAAAATGGACAGAGGAGTCTTCAGGGCTGAGGTGGCAGATGGGACAGAGTTGGGCTCAAAGAGCAGGTGGGATCTAAGTGGGACGGTCCTGGCCCAGGGCTGGTGAGCTGAACTCAGGTGGCAGCTGGAAGCTGAGGGGCATTCAGACGTCAGGGAGTTGGGTGTAAATGGGTGACCTGGATGGAGGAGGTAGGACGAAGTTTAAGGAAGCGGGACAGGGTACTCAATAGTTGACCGAGGAGGTACTCAGGGTCCTGGAGGGCACCTGAGCCTGACAGGGCAGATGAGGAGCTGAAGGGCCAGGCTGGGCAGAGCCCGGGGGTGGTGGGGGCGGCAGCCATGCCTTGAGGGAGAGGACAGGCCTGAGGGGGCAGAGGGGACCCCTGGCAGGTGGACTGGGAAGGGGCCAGGCCTTCGGGAGCAGCCAAGCCTGAGGGCATAACTGGGGCCTGAGGAGTCGATGTGGCCCCCGGGTGGCCGGCCCATGCCTGACGGGACAGGCTGGGTCTGGAGGGGAGGCCTGGGCCCGAGGGGCCACCCAGGCCTGCGGGAGTGGTTGGGCCTGAGGCGGCGGCTTGGGCAGGCCGGGACGGCAGAGCTTGAGGGCCAGGCAGGGACAGAGCGCCCGGGTGGCTGTGCCGCCGCTGACCGCACTTGGCCACAGCACCTGAGGCAGCTGCGCGGCGAATTCTAGAACCATACGCCGGCCGGGGAGGAGGAGAGGCGATGACTGGAGCTGAGGGAGGAGCCGGCCGGCGCCTCGCGCCTCGGGGCGGGAGCTGGGCGGAACCGCCTCCTGGGCGGGGCCATAGGGGAGGCCCCGCCCCCTGGGCGCGCCTCCGACGGCGGCGACGTCCGCGGGTCCGGGGCCTGGGTCCCCTCCAGGGCCCGCCCCCACCTTTCCCGGCTCCTCAGGCGGCCGTAATCCTCCGAGTCCTGGCGTCCTGCTCGCCCTTCTGCTTCCGCAACTCGGTTCTCTCGTCCCCTCCCGGTGGGCCCCACAGTCCCGTTGGCATTGCCCCTTTAACCGGATTAGTCTGGGTCGCTCCAGGGCCCTTCCCGGGACGGTGCGCGCCCGCCCGCCCGCGTGCGCGCGCCCGCCGGTCCCCCGCCCCTCGCTCCCGCCCCAGCTCGCGCTGCCCGGGCGGGCGCCGGCCGCTGGCGCCGCTGCTGCTGCCGCCCCCGGGGCGCGAGTCCGCCGCCCGCCGCCCGGGGACCCGGCGAGGGGCGGGGGCAGCCCCGATCCGGCCCCGGATCTCTCCCGCTCGCGTCTCACGCTTCCCGGAAAGTTTGTCCCTTTGCGCTCTGCCGAGCGGCTCGGGGAGCCCCTCCGCGACGAGGTGAGAGCTGGGGGAGAAGGGGGGGTGAGGGAGGGGACGCCCGCGGAGGAATGTGCCGGGCTGCCGGGCGGGGAGCCGGGGTCCCCGTTTGCACGACCCGGCGGGGGCCGGCTGGCCGCGAGAGCCGGGATCATGTGCTGTTTGTCCCGCGGAGGCGCAGAGAGGTGCCAGGCCCGGGGCGGCCGTCGGCTGGCTGGTCAGGAGGACAGGGTCCGCATGGCCGCCCAGAGAGGCCGGGCCGGGCGCCTGTGTGAGAACTGCGGGCTGGCGATGCAGGTAGCCCGAGGCCCCCTTTCGGGTCGGTCGGCCCCACCCCAGGCCCGGCTCCTCCTGTACCCCACTGCTCCTTTACACTGCACCAGCCGACCCCTGTACCTATTCCTTAGTCTTTTACCCGGCTATCCCTCAGCCGTGCCACCCCATTCCCTGCCCCATTAGCCCCAACGGCGTCACCATTGCGTGTCCCCATCAGTGTCTCTTCCCTCCCCTGGTCAGGGTCTACGGGTCAGGGCTGTCCTTCCTGAGACAGCCTCTGTGATTTCAGCTACTCCCTTCCTGTCCTGGGACAGACCAGCTCTCTCACCCCTCCCACGCCCTGCCCAGGAAGGCTGGTGAGGTGAGGCCCGGCATGACGGGGGTTTGAGGTCCTTTGGGGCCACAGAAAGGGGCCCAGCATCCCTGATCCCTCTTCCCAATTCTCCACCCTGCTGTCCGTGGGCGTGGGCTGCTCAGCCTCTCCTCCCAGGGTGTGGGCACCCGATCACCCACATTCCTGGGCTCCAGCCTGGCACCTTCCCCAGGGCAGTAGACGCCATAGCACTAGCCCCAGGCTGGGGCTGGGACCTGCCTGCTTCTTTTCCCTTCTCTCCCCTTTCACGGAGATCCCTGTGCTATCCTCCCTTCCCACAAAGACAGGTATTCTGGATCCCTCAACAGAGGAGCCCTGGGGTTGGTATGAGGGATGCAGGATGACCCCACCCTCCCCTGCCCATTGTCCTAGATCCTGAGGAGGAAGTGCTGGGGGCTGGGCAAGGGGTTTGGGGCCCGCAGGCAGGCCCTTTGGAGCTCAGTCCTGGGCTATATCTCCAGCCCTTGGACTTTGCCCATCAGCAATCCTTCCCTCTGTGTGGAGGTTATGAGTCCTAGGTGGGAACTGGTTTCTACTTCTCCCTGGCTGACTCTCTGGGGGAACTTGAGGGCAGGTTTTATGTTTGGGGTTTTCTCTCCTCTCGTTTCTCTTCTGGGCTCCTGATTTGTGCTTTTGCCCCAGAACTCACCTTCCTGCCTGTTTAACATTTCTGTTTGCTCTCCTCTATGTTTCTCCTATTTTCCTCCTCCCATTATATCCTTCATAGGGTGACCTCAATCCTGCCTTCTCTCTTGTGTCTCTCATTTTCATGGTGTCTCTGACTTTCTGCCCCACCGCTCCCCCCTTCCTGCCACCCTCAGTGTCTCTGCCCATGTGTCCCTCTCTGAATTGCCCTCTGTCCAGTTTCTCTCTGTCTTCTCTATCTGAACGTTCAGTACGCTTGCGAGTGACGAGGAATAAAAATATCACCGTCCCTGCCCTTGGATTCACATTGCATTCGGCCACTCCAGAGGGACAGCCACCCTTACCTTTCCTAACGTTACCCCCTACTCCTTGCCCTCCCGTTGCGGAACCCAGACACACCTCTGGAGCCACAGGTGCCTCCTAACCACTCTTCCCCCACAACCAGGGTTTTCCCCACAGCCCCAGCTGCCGTGGCCAGGCCCCAAGTGTAGGATGGGGCTCCTCCTACGAGGGCCGGTGGCAGCCAGAACTGATACAGCCCCCCTGGTCTGGGGCCAGGACGCCAGGTAACTCTGGGGTGACGGCCCAGGTCCCTGTGAACTGGGATATGACTGGGGAGAGAGGCAGGAACACCCTCGGGAGTCCCTGAGGAGAGTGACACTTGGGAGGAAGGCCAGGGGAACTGGAACTGGGTCCTTGAGGGGCTGGGTAGCTGGGGAAGGGAGATGGAGACACTGCTTCCTGAGAGAAGCTAGGAGGCAATGTCTGGGTCCTCTCAGGGGCTCTGACCACCTCTTCTGTTTCTGTCCTCCAGCTGAGGAGGGTGGGAGTATCTGGAGCCATGGCTGGTGCCTCGGTGAAAGTGGCGGTGAGGGTTCGGCCCTTCAACGCTCGTGAGACCAGCCAGGATGCCAAGTGTGTGGTCAGCATGCAAGGCAGCACCACCTGTGAGTGAGTCCCAGGGGCTTTGCTGGGCACAAGTGGGGCAGGCTGGGCCCACCACGCAGGCCAGTCCTGCTGGGCCGAACCCAGAGGAGGGTTGAGCTGGGTGCAGAGCAGGTGCTAGTTGTAAGGGCGGGGGCTGGGGCAGGCTGGCCTTTCCATGTTCCCAGTCCCTGGGAGGGGGAATGTTGGCCTGGAGCCCTCCGTTGCCCAATCCAGGGAGGCAGCCCGGTGGGGGGCGGGTCCTGGGAAGCCAAAATTAGCTTTGGTAGCTAGAGGGGGTGGGGAATATTAAAGGGGAGAGATGAACTAGGACAGAGGTGGGGAGTGGGATGCCTGGATTCCAGGGGCTTGGAGGGAGAGGGCAGAGGTTGGGAATACCTCACCTTGGCCTTCCTTCCTTTGCTCTCTCCTGCCCCCTCAGCCATCATCAATCCCAAACAGAGCAAGGATGCCCCCAAAAGCTTCACCTTCGACTACTCCTACTGGTCACACACTTCGGTGAGGTTGTTGGGCTAGGGGGAGAGCTAAGCAATTAGGGACAGGGGATTTAGGTCGTGGGGAGGAGGCATTGCTGGGAAATCAGACCACCAGGGCATGGGTTGGGAGAACCAGGACTCCTGGGTGGGGGTGGGTAGGACCCATAGGTTGTGACTGGGACCAGGATGGGGGAAACAGAATCCCTTAGGATAATCAGCACAGGCAAGAAACTGGCTAGGATCCTCAGGGGTGATTAGGACCATGATGGGGATGGGGGCACACAGGACATTTGCGTAGTCATCTGTGTTGGGGGCAAGATTCTTGGGACCTAGACATTAAGGACAAGTCATCTAGGGCTCCTGCTGTCTTTTTCTGCCTCCCTTTCACCTAGGCCGAGGACCCTCAGTTTGCATCTCAGCAACAGGTGTATCGGGACATTGGAGAGGAGATGCTGCTCCATGCCTTTGAAGGCTACAACGTGTGCATCTTTGCCTATGGGCAGACCGGGGCTGGGAAATCCTACACCATGATGGGGCGGCAGGAGCCGGGGCAGCAGGGCATCGTGCCCCAGGTACATGCTGGGCCCTGGCAGGGCAGCCAGGGCAGGAGCATCTTCAGCTGCCCCTGTGGAGGAAGGCCAGGGGTCTAAGGGTTATGGAGCATAGACCTGGCTTTCTGGGGCTGTTAGTGACAGGGAATGTGATGGGGGAGAGGGATTGGCTGCAACCTGGATATCTAGGCTCTCTGGGGAGGGGGTCTTTGCCCTCGTCAGAGGCAACAAGGCTCAGTGAGAAGAGCCAAAGCTTTGGCATCAGAGAGCCCTGGGTTTGAACCCTGCTTCTGTCGCTTACTACTGTTTTCTCTTGTCTTGTAGTTATTCGTGAGTGTAGTTCTGTAGGCTTGTGTATAGTAGGCAACGTGTTGACTATAGAAAAATTCTAGGATAACTGAGAGTTGACCATAATTTTCTCTGACTGCGCAGCATGGTGGCCTTGCACACAGGCTCTGGAGTCAGGATGCTTGGGTTTGCATCCTGGCTCACCGAATACTAGCCTATGACTCTGGGAAAGTGTGACCTTCTCTGAGATTGTTTTCCTGTCTGTAAAATGGGAATGATCCCTCCCTCAGAGCTGTGGTAAGGGTTAAACAGGGTCACCTGAGACAGGGCTTGGCCTGGTGCTGGGTGCCACAGGTGCGATGTGAACAGCAGCTTCTCTGTGTCCCCCTCCAGCTCTGTGAGGACCTCTTCTCTCGTGTTAGTAAGAACCAGAGTGCTCAGCTATCCTATTCTGTGGAGGTAAGCCCAGGTCTTAGTAGGGGCCTGAGAGGGGGCACGGTGTTCCCAGGGCAGGGAAGGGGAGAGCAGAGTAATTAAGACCAAGGGCATTCTCAAGTCAGACACCCAGGGATCTATTCCTGGCTCTGCCGATTACTAACTGTGGCTTTGAGTGGATGATTTCATCTCTCATCTGCTGAGTATGTTCATCTGTGAAATGATAATGATCGGATCCCTCCTGGGGTTATTGCAAGGATCAGTGAGCTCACATATGCAAAATGCTTAGTAGTGTGTGTGGGACACAGTACATACTCTGTGTACATTAGCTGAGCTTACCTGTGTCATATCCAGGAGAGTTCAGGGTAAATTTCATCGTTGCTGTTATTGCTGGCTTTGTCACTTCTTATTTGCTTCTCCCACTCAGGTGAGCTATATGGAGATCTATTGTGAGCGGGTACGAGACCTCTTGAACCCCAAGAGTCGGGGCTCTCTGCGTGTCCGGGAGCACCCCATCCTGGGCCCCTATGTGCAGGACCTGTCTAAATTGGCTGTGACCTCTTATGCAGACATTGCTGACCTCATGGACTGTGGAAATAAGGCGCGGTGAGGCAGGCTGATGGAGTGGAGGGCAGGGAGCCAGGGTTAGGAAGGTGAGGGGCAGGACCCAGTGACCACTCCGTCCCCACAGGACCGTGGCTGCCACCAACATGAACGAGACCAGCAGCCGTT